GTTTGCTTTCGTTTCCTTCGAATTTTCTCGCAATCTTCTTGTACCTTTTCCAACTAATAAAAAAAAAGAAATTAAATCATTTTCTCATGAGGGCCCAATATTCAAAAGATATTTTGAAAATATTTCATTTATTTTTTATGATCCCCCCTCTTTGTCAAATGTAAGGTTATAGTTTTGCTTTAATTGTATTTATTTTTCGTTGTTTGTTTTTATTTGTGGGGATAACTCTGAACAGAAGGGTAAAACTGAATATCTCAAATTTCTTGTTGGTTGCAATATATATAAACGTGGAAATGTTTTTTTTAATTTTATTTTAGTCGCTCGCCTTGACAGAATAATAATAGTTTTGCAGATATTTCGGTGATAAACAGACTGCAAAATAAATTGACGATCTTACGAATAAAAAAACGTCGTATTTTGTGTCTTTTTTTCAAACAATTTACCCAAGAATATGTAGGTTTGTAAAACGTAAGTTACTCTTTTCATTATATCAAGAATTTTTTTCAGTTGAATTTTTGAAATATCTGTTGCTCAATTTATGACTATTTAATTTGGACAACTTCTTCTATAAACAATATAATAAATAAAACAAAATATAGATATACTAAGTACCTTAAGATATAAATATGTATAATAAAACAAAAAGAGATAAAGTGAAGTCAACAGTTGTCCTTTTGAATTACATTAGCTAAATATTATCTGTTTAGATAAGTAAATTCATATGGCATATATATAACCATTAATATAATTATTAATTAAAATATTTATTTTGTATTTACCAATTTTTTTATTAGTAGTGATTTAAACAGAGTGTGGGGGCTACCAAAATGGTACTTTGCATAAATTAGTACTTGTGGTATAATTTGTCAAGTACACGACAAAAGTCTTTGGTTTACCCAGGGCTCTCTGGTTTCTTACACGAATTGTGATAAAAATACAGAAAGACATCACAAAAATCCTAAGAAACATAAAAGTTTGTTTTGTTTTATTTATTTTCATTTTTTATATGGTCATTTAAAAGCGCTTGCAGTGATGAATTTGCAGACACTTTTATACTTTAGAAACTGACTGGGTGAAGGGGGATTCAAATACATTTATAAAAAATTTCGTAAACAATGTTGGATTTAAAAAAAAACTAAATTGTAGAATTACATGCACTGTTCAGCAATGGTTTTTCCCATGTTACTTGTGGGGTCCTAGTTTCATGCATTCAAAGTTATATCAATATAAGACGTATATATTATTATAATTATTTAACTATTCAAGTTTAGTCCTGCAAACTCTTTTGTTTAACAAGCTTTATAAAGGAAAGCTGTCATATACGAGTTGTTTTTTTTCGTTCCGTGTTGAAGACCGTATTGTGACTTTGAGTTGAAGAACAGCAATCAATACAAGCGCTGTTTCTCTGCTTTTTGTGTGTTTTTAACTGTGCATGCACTGATTTTGTGTCATGGATGGAGACCCCATATCATTGTTTTTCTATTATATAATAATTTTTTTTAATATTATCTAATAACATATAAATTCGTTAAGCTTTTAAAAAATTAACAAATATAGCTTTGAACTATCTGTGTTCTAAAAATTAATGGAATTCCAAATGCTAGCGAATGGATCTAATGCAATTTAGGTAGATTTATATACATATTAGATGTGGTATGATTGCCAATGCAATAACTATCCATCAGAGACAATATGACGTGGATGTAAAGTTAAGTGTTAAGTTAAAAAAAAGGCCCCAGAATCACAAAATTGGAAGTAATTCAAACGAAAATACCAACAGCATGATTTAAACTAAAACAATAAATGAGCCAAAATCTTTGACTTTCAGCAACAAACGACAACCCATGAATTTACAGTTTCTGACTTGGCGTAAAAACACAACATAAGAACACGCAGTAAAAAATAGTTGGAAAGGGCTTGACTCGTCAGATCGACAAGAAGCACAAAAACAACTAACAAAAAAGACAAAAGACTCAGATTACCGACTTTAGAGAATTTGCAATTACTGTAAGCGATTCGTCTAAACAAATGATTAGGGAGGACATTTATTTGAAACCAGAGATTCGAAACAAAATCCACCAATCTATAGAAAATAAAGTTGTGCATTGTCTTGGTTTTCAATGTTTTTCAATGAAAAACTGTTGAGAGGATGTTACTATAAGTTGTAAAACTTGTGTCTGATCCATTTGTCATTTTGAACAAAAAATTGTTAAAACTTAAATTTTGTAAGAATTTGAATACAGCATCAAAACTCAAATAGGGTGAATAACATTTCGATTTCATTTTTTTTTGTAAATTTAATAAGGGAGCTACCATTTGATTTTTATGGGGGGGGGGGGGGGGGGGGGGGCTAGGATGAAATTTGAATAAAAAAGACAGGACAGTTTATGTAAAAAAGTCAGGATAAACTAATAAAAAAAGGCAGGACCGAATAGAGTGAAAAATAAAAAGGCAGGCCAGAGATTACAACTAAAAAAAGATGCAGGACAAAATTTTTCATCTTATTGAAGATGAGTCTCACATCTTAATTGCTGTTTGAATTTGAACAAAACATGTTGAAAGACTTTCGTTATGCAATGCCAGTTTATTTGCAGAAATGAAGCTCTGTTGTTAACTTGTTCAACGTGAGTTATTTATTTTGAATTCAGCCCTGTATTATGCCGGTAGACATGACTGTCTTGTAAGTTTTGTATCTAGACGTCAAATGACTGTCGTGCAATTTTTGTATTGTAATTTTGGGATTTAGGAATGACTGTCTTGTAATTTTGGGATTTTGGAATAACTGACTTGTTATTTTTGTATTTAGACAAGACTACCTTGAAATTTTGGGATTTATATGAATGTCTGTCCAGTTATTTTTGTATTTATGCATGAATGGCCTGTAATTTTTATATCTAAATGTTACTGTCTTGTAATTTTTGTATTTAGACATAACTGTCTTGCAATTTTGCATTCATATATGTCTGTCTTGTAATTTTTGGATTTTGTAATGACTGTCTTGTAATTTTGGGATTTTGGAATAACTGTCTGGTAATTTTTGTATTTAGACAAGACTGTCTTGTAATTTTGGTATTTATATGAATGTCTGTCCAGTGTCCTTTGTATTTAGACAAAATAATTTTGGAAATTAGAAATGACTGTCTTGTTATTTTAGGATTTAGGAATAACTGTCTTGTAATTTTTATATTTAGACCAGACTGTTTTGTAATTTGCGTATTTATATGAATGTCTGTCAGTATTCTTTGTATTTAGACATGACTGTCTTGTAATTTTGGAAATTAGAAATGACTGTCTTGTTATTTTAGGATTTAGGAATAACTGTCTTGTAATTTTTATATTTAGACCAGACTGTTTTGTAATTTGCGTATTTATAAATGTCTGTCCAGTAATTTTTGTATTTATACATGGCTGGCTTGTAATTTTTGTATCAAGATATCACTGTCTTGTAACTTTTGTATTTAGATGACTGTCTTGAAATTTTGGTATTCAGACTGACTGTTTTGAAATTTTGATATTTCGACATGACTGTCTTGTAATTTTTGTATTTAGACATAAATATGTATAATTTTTGTATTTATATATACATGTACCTGTCTTGTATTTTAACATGACTGTCTTGTTATTATTGTATTTATAGATGATTGTTGTGTGCTTATTTTACTCAGATAATGTTGTGAAATTGTTTTACTGAAAAATACACGAACGGCCATTCCCGTTGTTAAACAGCGGACGGCATTTTTAGAAAATTGGTTTGATTTTATTTGTAAGAATATATTTTTTTAACAATTCTCTAAAGGAGAAATAAAATCAAAATAGATTATAGCAAATGTGTAAATCAAATTTTATTCAATATCATGAATTAAAAAAAAATGTGTTTTTCCAATGATATATTTGTCATTGAAAAAATAAAGAAAACAGAAAAAAATGCATATCAAATAAATACTAAGAAAATATCCGAACAGCTTAATTAAATAAACATAATATAAAAAAAACAAGCTTTATCTCTATACGTCATCGACCTTGTATACAGGGAATACCAATTTTATATCTGTGTTGCCACGTTTGCTTAACAGAAGCAAAAGTGCACAATTTTTATAGGCGAAATCCGTTGCATACAATGTCATAAAACAGTTCGACTCTGTTATGTCAAACATAATTGTTTTAGCTTACAAACTAAGCTCATCAAATAATATAATTCGGTTTATATAGTTTCTGAAGACTATGGTCTTCTGGAACGATATAATCATAAACATAAAATGTTCTCCGTGATGCTGTCGCCAGTCCAAATATTTTCGTTGTTTTCTGGGTGTATTCCATTGTTGCTGTAGCTGTTGCGTTGGTGTTTCCCCTTGTCTTTTTATTGGTATTGATATATTTTTTGGTAGCGATAACACGCGTTTTGTTTCGAACTCTAAATTGCGTGTTTATGAATTGACTCAAAACGGGCTTGAACCACTTGACACTAGATCTTAATATTTCTTTTTACTTAAATTGGACTAAAACGAGACTGACGAGACAGCAAACCAACGAACCAAAAATCAAGACATTAAGTGGTCAGCGTATGATCGTCAACGATGGAAATTTTGTCTTTAAAACATGTCAAGCTATAAATCACAAAAACACTTATCAAGGACTATTGAAGATCTGCCTTAAACGCCAAATTCCAAATTGCTGGGGTTTTTTATTTCCAAGAGCTTGGTAGTTTTAGGACTAGTAGTTTTAGGTACTTGTTATTCTTATTGTATTTTTATTTGCATCGTTGCTTTTTGGTTTCTATCATTCTTGAATATTGTGTTTTGGATATCGATTTCTGAATCTTTACCCATTCATATTCATGGTGCTTAATATGCATGAAATATTTGTCACTGGACGATTAAGAAAAAAAGATTAATGGTACTTTAAGGAGAAAAATAATTCTAAATTTCGAAAAAGAAAAATAACTGAACGTTTCTGTAATATTATTTCTTATAATTTGCTAAGAAAAAAGACAGAATTACAACTAAATTCAATATTTTTTTATTTCATAATTACAAACCTTATTAACTACGATTAAGACGATACAAACCATTTGCAATGAAAAATAAGTAATCCACACGTGTATTAAATCCTTAGCTATTAATGAATTTCCATTCGCAAAACAAAAACTAATGTTCTTTTTGCACAATAACATGTAAATACCCATACAGAATCATGTGTATTTTGGTGGGATTCGAGGTTGTAAGAGCCATCTCCTCACTCAAACAAAAACTCTGAAAAAAAAAGAATACTTTTTTTATATTTAGCACTAAAATATCTAGTTCTCATATCCTCATTTAGCAATTATGACAAAAAGAACATAAAATGAACATTTATATCTGTACACTTCAGCTAAAGTCTATAGGAATAAGTTTTTATTAAACAAAAATAATGAAATAAGCAAATGATTGGGTTGTTTACAATTTAATCTGGTGTATTTACTACAGACAAATATTGTATGTGTATATGATAACTTCAATAAAAGACAGTCTGTAGACACAGCCGGCTTTCGGTTTATTTTTTATAATCTGTTAATGAAATAAAACATAAAACTCAGAGTCAATAACGGTTGTATGAATAATTTATGTTTTATAACCCCTAATCATCTGAGCTTTATATAATTCATTCGTGATATGTTATTGTTAAAAAAAATTGAAGCACGGGAAAAGTAGAATAATAATAAAAACCAAACAAATTAAATTTTATCCTGAATTCTGTAATGATTTATTGTTTTAAAACGGCATTTTCTATAGAAAACATATTGATTGATTGAAAGCGATTCAACGCTGCGTCAGTATCCGCCATTGGCTATGTCACGGCGAGAACTTGAAAGTAAAAGTTTAGTTTAGAGCTTAATTGACATATTGTATAGACACCAGTCTAGGGAAGACTGTATGTTGCCCTCAAAATGTCTTTTGGTTAGTTTAGTCTTTATAGTCCTCAGGATTTTTATTACCTTTTCATATCTTCTGTCGATTTTTTTTTTATGTTCTCGAAAATTGAGCATCACATCCATTGAGCAAACAGTTTTACCATCACTGATATGTTCATTCTATGTGAATTAATTGTGTATAAAATGTTGAAGAATATTTTTTTTTGTCATATGCTTGACCACAATATTTTGTTCATCAAATTCGGGGTCAAATTATTTTTTTAGGAAAAAACCATAACCCCCGCCCTTGAAGTTAAATGGTCGTTCCCTAAGGTTTGTCTACCTCCAAGCTTAGATTGCCTTTGTCGCATTTAGCAGTAATTTTCGAAATTTTGTGTTTTTCAATGGTTTTCAACTTTTTATCTGATTTGGTCTAACTACTGTTTTGATACGAGCTTAACGAATGAGCCTTATGTGTAGACGAAAGGTGCGTATGGCGTACCAAATTATAAGCATGTTATTTTTGATGAATTTTTACTTGTTTTTTTCTTCTTCGGTATATTGGTTGTATTGCTTTCGATTTCTATATTTCTTTGGTCTTCCGGAAAATTTACTATGACTGTCACTAATGAAGTTAGGGATAGATCATAAACTTTTGTTGGTGTATATATTTTTTTGCCCGGGACAAACATGTCTTTTTTTAACTGTAATAAATATAAATTGAAATCGTACGGGAACAAAAATTTTAAAAACATCAATGTTATCCTTAATTTTTAACTAATTTTCAAATTGACTAAACTGTTTTTTTCACTTGTCTTCTGAAATAAATTATTTTTTCTCAAGAAATTTATAATCAGACAATTCATTTAAAAAATGAATGAGAGGTGCCTTAGCTGTTCTTGTGAACTCCTTTTTATTTATTGCTTTTACTCGGTGTATATATTTTTGCCTTTCTGAAAAGTTTACATAGGCTTTATGCAAAACAGTTTTATCAAGACTTTGCTAGTTCTTGCAATTTAAAAAAAAATATCGCTCTTTATGTTCATATTTCCTTGTCTTGCTGAATATTTGCACACAAAAACCGATCCAACTAAATGTCATTTTTATGTTATCTTACAAGTGTAGGGTTGCTGTCTTAATGATGTCTATGATATGATAACTTTTATTTATATGTGTGTAACTTATAGAGGATCACAACCAAAACAAAACAAAACAAAATAGATGAAAATATGTTTTTTTGAGACATCTTTTTATTGCAAATTTGTGGGAAATAGAACGATAAATGTTAGCGTAATTGTACAATTCGGAAAAATAATAATAGGGAAGATGACATCTTCTTAATTCTTCTATTTTCTTATAAGGCACTGAATTGCCTGTTGTCTAAATTCCTGTCGACTTGCTGCAAATAACTGTATTTGAAATGGATGCCATATATTCATTGAGAAGCATGCATTTTAAACTACGGCTTGCAAGTTGCTTATAAGTACCTTTAAGTGAGATAAAAGTGATTTATGTACACGATAAAAGCATCAAGCAAACATGTAGTTTCAATTAAAGTGAACATAGATCATAAATAGAAACAAGTTTGTTCCGAAGAAAGGGGACAGTATAAAAAAAAAACCTATGCAAAGCTATATCTATTTTTTGCGCATGAAAATAATACTATTTCTATTTTTCAAAATTCGAGAAATTCATGAGAAAAAGCTACAACTTTGTTTTGACTATTTAATTTCTATTAATCTGTAATATTTGTGGAATTTTATCACTTTTGTGTAATTTTAGCACCTTTTTGTATGAAAACATTTATAGGTGACAGACTTAATTTAGTAAATTCTTCCAAAAGTTCGAAGTTTATTCAGCATTTAGCGCATGTTTATTTTGTAGTGTTTGTTCTAAAGATGTTTTTGTTTGTATATCCCTAACGTCTTAATAAGCCTTCAATCAATTCACTAACACCGCGTTAATAAGCAAACATACATTATAAAAGTCCATGTAAACTAATGCGGTCCTAATTGGTTTTCAAAAAAGACCCAAGATGAAAGATATGAACTCGGACCGTCCATTGATTTCTTGTAATAAGTAAACATGGTCGTTTTCCGGGTAAATATTTGTCAACATGGACAAACTCTTTATGGAGACATAGGCACCAATTACTTATATATTTACTTAAGGCTGGCATTTGTTCTCGTGGCAAAAATTTCACATGTACTTTTGATTAAAACTTTCATTTTTGGAACTTTCACTTGCTAATATATAAATTTGTTTTATACTAGTATTGAATAGGGTTGTTTGTTGTCCATTTATTAATTACAAATAAGAGTATAAAAAAAACAGGTACATTAAAAAGACAAAATAAAATACCCATTGTAGAATTTTGTGAACGCCTTTTAATTGTTTAATCTGTTTTTAATTGGTAAAATATATCTCAAACAATTACTTTGGTACATTTAGGGAAATTTTCTGCTTTGGCAATTGTCAACGGAACAAACTTTATTATGAATTTCCTCAAAAAATATTACAAACAAGTGAAACTTTTTCTTGGTTTTCAAAAAATACAAAGGACAATTTTTGTAACTCCACAAAAAGATGAACACATAAATATCTTCTTTTGGTTTTCTGGAAAATTGCATTTATAAATCTTCTGAAATAGATTATACAAAAAAAGCTAAAAAAAAAATTGCAAACAAATAAAACTGATATTAAATAATTATAATAATAATAATAACAATAATGATATATGATGATATTAATACATTTAATGCTTTGATAAAAGAATGATTATTTAATTAGATTATGGTAAAATAAAAACCGCAATTTGAAACCGCAGGTTATTTCTTGTTGCAGAAAGTTTCCCGGATAACTAGACAAAATAATCCACACATCATTTTGAGATTAAATTTAAATTTGTTAATATTCGACAAAAAAATCCGAAACAAAGTTAACTGTATAATTGAAAAGCAATTAAAACTTTTAAGACATACAGCATAAATTCAATCCATTAGAGTACAAATGACAAATATTTAATATGATACGGCTAAGAATGTTGAATTTACGGACCTTCAGAATTTTTTTGTTAAATTAACACATTTCGTCAAACTCTTTACAGCAAAAAATACTATTATTCTTTTGCTAGGTAATTACTTCGCGTACATGAGATCTGATATTTATTTTTAAGTTGTTTTTAGGACTCCAGGAGATAACAAGTTAAAATGACACCTTTTTGAGATCAGAGGTTTTTTTCTAATAATTTTAGTTGTTTGCAGATATCAGAAGACAACAATTTAAAAATTATGAAAAAGTCAAAAGTTACGAAAAGTCACAAATAAGTCATAATAAAGTTAAATAAAGTCATAGTATTTTATATGTGGGTAAAAGTGAGTTATAAATAAAAAAAAATTATATGAAAATAGATAAATCTAAACAAAATACAGACAGTGCTTAGTTGTTTTTCAACTTATGTGTTTGGTGTTTATCCGTCTTGGCAACCATTATTTCGAACAAAAAATACATATATTCTTAAATGATATATTACGCAAAATTTATGTCTGTAATGAATATTAAGAAAATAAAACCGTTAATTCCCTAGAATTCGTTTGCAGATGATGAAAAAAGTCATAAGGCATTATGTTTAAGAGACCTCGCTTAATCAACATGTTCCCACTAGACATAAAACTACGGAATATTAAGAGTTTTGAGGATCGAAATTTGGATCAACTTTTTAACAGAAAATTGTTCATTTGAAAACTATGACTACTACACACTGGTAATGAAAATGTATAGTCAGATGGTTTTGTGTTGGAGTCTATATCATTTTGATGTAAAAACGCCTCCTTTTTACACCTAGATTAGATATTAGGCACGGTTGAATCGAATGTTTTGTCCATTTTTATTACAGTCTATATCATGTCCTGCAACTATTAAATAAGAAAAGTCACAAAATACTTCATATCTATGATAAATTTGATAATCACAATACCATGTAAGTATTTAGTTACCTTGCCATTTTTCGTGTTTTTGCGAATTATAAGTAGAATTATCTTTAAATGGAAATAGGAGCCAATTCCCCCTGCCCCGAAAAATAATAATCCACGAACAAACCATCAAAAATTTAAGCCGGCCAATTAAATAGGACATATTTTAAACACAGTTATACTTACGAAATGAGGAACGCCGAAATCCTTAAGTCCAACGAGCACAAATTTGCTAATAGAAGTTTAAAAAGTTTCCTGCAAAATGTAACAAACAGATCATAAAAAACAAAATAAAAACTCTGTATTTTTGCCTACTTTTAGACAATCTTAAGCCTGTGGTTTTTCATTAAACATGTGTTCTGTGCCAATCTGTACACAGTACAAATAGAAATTCATATTTACCCAAGACAAATAGCTATAAACAGTTTAAACAATATGATTTAAAATTGTTGTAAAATTCATCTTGTACAAATTTGTTTGAAATTAACTCTCTGAAAGCAATATTCATTTTTTTCTCATGTAAGTGTATAAAAAACCTGTTAAGTTTGAGACATTGAGCAAATATGAATTATATTACATATTCTATATTCATATTTACAGTACACAAGAGAGTTGAAATGGTTAAACATATTTATTTTAATAAGTTTTTACCTCTCTTTGCAGTCTTTCTATGGCCAACCATGGTAGCCATCCTCGCTCACCTAAAAATAATAACAAAACAAGGATAAAGCATGGGTAGTCAAGAAAAAAAATACATCCTCAAAATAAACAAATTATATATTTTCGATCCAGATATTTTGAAAAAAAAAGACTTCATGAACATATGAAGATTGACATCCATTTTAATTCTGTTAGTGAGCAAATAAACACAGAGAACTATATATGCCCTACAAATAATACTAGTAAATAGTAAATATTTTTTTATTAATATTTGTATCCATACGTTGAAATACTGTCTGTATACACCTTAAACTTAACTATACAAATATTCCCCCCAAATAAAAAAAAAAGAAGAAAAATATGTAAAGCAAAAAACTAAGTAATCTTATTGCTATCGGTTTCCGTCACCAATTTTTGTTAAATGTCTATATGGCAAAAGGTTGAAAAATGTTGATTTAAGTTATTTTGCAAAAATGCATAAAAACTCCCTAAACATTTTGAAAAAGAAAAAGGCTATGAGACTTGTGAAAAAACGTTAATGAGAAAGCGACCCCAGAAACCAAAAGAGGATATTCGGAAATCAAGACCGTCTCCAGACCATAGTTTTCTGATATATCTGAGCAGAAAGAAAACGCGAGAGTTAATTATTGGTAAGTGATTATCTAAATCAGACAAAGATCATGATCAAAATATGAGAAGCTGTAAACAAGCCAAATAAATTCAAATGAAAAAGGCCATGAAGCCATGTATTTGTTGATAGCTGCTTGTTAATCCAAAGAAAAGAAAACAAATTTGGAGCCATTGTTTGGATTTTAACACCAAGCCTGGCACCATGTGCAAGTCAAACAGCAGAAAACATCGGATATCTATTCAAGAAACCTATGGTTTACACAATAAAAAGCCGCGTGTGAGTAATTCAAGAACAAAATGTCGTTTGAAATTCCAAAATAAAAGAACTATTTCAAATAATCTTAGGGAAAATATAAATATAATTTTTATAAAGAACAGTCCATAGGTTAATAAAACTAGAAGCCATTTGATAGTCACAAAACAGGTAGCAGTTTGAAAGAAGTCCCAAATCAAAAAGCCAATCGCAAATCGCAACACATTAAGCCATCCCCGAAAGAGTACTTTATAGGAATAAACATCGTATCCGGTCGCGACAACAGCGCCATATCTAATGTTCTAAAAGAGAAAGGCGTATCCGATTGCAAACATTTATCTGATTGCAAGAAGTTTCAATTTGCAAATAACGAAAGGTTCCATTATGACTCCCTAAAGTTTAATTGTTTATGATATATTGCGAACAAAAATTTTGGGTTATAAGAACACCATTTTTTCAGTTTCTGTTTTACTACTTTTCAGGTGAAATAAACGGTCCATAAATTTTGAAATAGCGAGAAACAATCAAATTACCTTAGAATTACCTTCACTTAATGATTCAACATTTAGCTCGGTCGATATCGAAAAATCGAGAAAGGGGGGGGGGGGGGATACGAAAAATGCTATCGGGCTTTTAATCACACTGACCCTTCTAATAGGCTGTACACCCTGACCAATAAGACCATTACAATGCAGCCACTGTCATCAGGTTCAAGATAAAACGAAATGGGCAAGCATTGTCAAATCTGAAATAATACACAAACATTTGTTGAAAAATCTGAAATAACTTAACTATTTGAAATTTATAGCTGACCTCAAAATATGCCAATTGTCGCCTGATAGACAATCTAGTTGTCTCATTGTTTAAGTTTGACTTAAGCAACTATAGACAATAAACAAGTCAACAAAAAAGCTGAAATTATCAATCAACTTATAAGCTTATTTGAAATTAACATTTCTTGTTACATCTCGTTCAAAACGAGATTATACTTATGATAGCAAACGCGTTAAAGTTACATGATACGGGGTAATAAGATTTTATTATTAACCCATAAAGACCTATTATCACCTTTGATTTGATCTTTATCTTATTTTGAAAATAACGGTTCTGATATATAAACAGTGATTTATCCCTGTCCCATTCAACATGGCGGCTCCTTTGGTCGATGACCTTTATTCATTTAAAAGTATTAAATCTGCCTTTTCATTATCCAAATAACGCATTAATAAATAGAAGAAAATAATTATTTGTATAATAGATCAGTTAAATGTTTTTCTAATGACTTTCACAAGAAAAGTATATCTATCCACTTCGGTACAATACAGTCGAAATAAAAGAAAACAAAAAGTAAAATGATTTCAGCTATTTGTTCTTCATATACACTTATAACTGTAAATATTATCAATATAACAAGACGATTATAAATATAAAGAGAAAATGCACAATTAAAAGAATTAACATATACGTAATGTCGTCTGCGTTCTGATTGTTTTCGTGACCGTAAGGATCACTACCTCTCAACCACTCGCAGATTATTTAAACTTAAAGGGAAGACGAAAAACGGCCTTAACGCTTACGTGTTAAAACTGCTTTGATATTTTGGGAGTTGTTTGATTTTTCATTCTAAAAAAGGGGAAAATCTGGAAAATGTTAGAATTGCCTGTTGTTTTGTTGTTGTTTTTATTTTGGTTGATTCCACGTTGTACATTTTGGTATTCAACGTAGAAACTAAATTCTTTGCAACTTTGATTTGCCCGTTATTTTTTACCGAGTTCGAATGAAATTTGGGACAGTTCTAGTGGCCTTAATACATTACTACAATATTTCTGAAACATTCAGGGAGAAAACAATAGTGGTCGATTCACTCATTTGAATTTAAACTTATAAATTATTGTTGCAATAAATAGAACATACATTCGCCCCCCCCCCCCCCCCCTTTTGCACCATTTTGTCTGTCAATCCATCCTGTCCAATCTTCATATATTTATCTACAATAGGATTTCTTAATATAGCGACATAGATGTAACGATGTAACTTAAGTTCAAACTGTGGTATCGGTGCATTTCATTATATATAATATTTGCACGCATTGCCATAACACTTAAGCGCATTACCATTACATTTGCGCGCACTACTATTGCATTTGCGCATAAAAAGATCTTAGTATTATACCATGTCGCACAACTTAACATTTCATTTGCGCGCATTCATTTTACAAGTAAAAAAGGGTAACTTTAAGGATGATATCAGGATACATCTTGTTTTAATATCGTATGATGAAATACATTCAGAAGTTATAAGTTCACAAACTCCGAAACAGCGGTGACGTTGGTGTGCTTTTCAACTTTCAACGTAGCGTAGCAAGGACGGCGTTACCGCTGTTTCGGAGTTTCGGAGTTTGATACCTCCGATATAGAACAAACATTTACTGTGACAAATCAATGAACAGTCTCCAGCAAGGACTATATAAGTCACAAATCTCTGTTTAAATTCTTGAAACAAAATAAGGCTCGGAATAAATAAAGTCTCTGTACGGATGGATGGATAAGTGTTTCCGCTCAGAAGGACAAACAGAATATATCAGAACGAGTATAAATTGAATGATATGAAAAAGAATTATGCTGAATAATAGAAAGATTCGTCGGGGTTGCTAGTTTGCACAAGAAGATTAGTGAAACATGTTCCATATCCGGACACTTTATTCTGACTCCGACCAGACTTTGCTTTCACTCTAAAATGCAACGTACTCAGTGAAGAAAAGAAGAAGAACATGCTAATGTTACGTCTTTGAATGGTTTGGCTCGGTCAGGGATCGGATTGACGACCCCACGCACTCGTGACGAGCACGCTACCACTAGACTACTGACATGGTTGCCTTGAATGGGAAAAGGTCAAGTGACACGAGTTATAAACTTCTAAAATCTTCCTTTTTGTTGTTAAGTTTTTCACTGTTTTATTTGATATACAATGACTCAATGAAGTTATATTGATGAAATGGCGAGTGACCTATCTTCTGACCCTTGCATCTTTCAGTTCAAGATTTAATCAAAACGCTTAAATTGAATTACTTTATATTTTTATTGTTTAATCCAGTGATTTAGAATAAAATCTTTAACGAGATAAATTTAACTCCAAATTCTTACTGTCAAATGTGAGCATCTGGTAGCTGCTAACATCCTTAAAGTAAAACAAAAGACCAAGCTATTTTAAAGCAGACGATTCGTGACTTGTAATGACGGTTGAGGTTTAAGTTAGAAGATGCCCAATAATTCGCCTGTTCACAAATGTTGTACACGAGGGATTTACAATGCAGTTAACAATACTTTATAGTTCTTTTTATGCAGGTCTTTCATGTTGACCATCTCTCCTTAAAATATATTATTGAAAATCTGACAATTTCTACGTGTAGAAAATTCGTTTCATCTTTGTGCATTAATGGTCGTCAATGTCCATCATTGCCCACTCTGCTTTTAGAAACAAACATACCATGGTACAAGAAAACTTATAGGCATACCTTTAACCTCTCGAAAGAAAGTTGCAGTAACTATTTTTTTGCCAAATGAATTTCAACAGTCTTTCCGATTTTTCGTTTAAATATCACAAATATTTAAGACTTATATATTTTATTCAAATAAGTCCATTTCCTGAAAGAAATTTCCCCCCACATTATTACCCGCATAGTGTCACTCGTATATTTTATACCGGCGTAGAAGAAAACTTTCAAATTACAATCAAAACAAAATATTTTGGCGCTTGAATGAAAAAAATCTTAATCATCATAAAATCGGCACCCTGAACAAAAAATGGTTTGGTGCCTTTCGGCTAAAAGAAAGGAATTAGATTAAAACATTAGTTTTACTTTGTTCACATACGCCCCATACCGTGTTACAACGTATATTATCCATTCTATTTTGTAATTACTAATTTCGGCCACATTATAAATATAAAAGATCATTCTTTGAGATTTGTTGGTTAACTCTCTCCATACACGTGCATGGGAATTGACGTTCCATGAAATTAAACGATCGCACGTGCGCACAACATCGGCAGTCAATTTAAATCGATGATACATTGATCTGGTTCCTGTTTTACATCATCAAACAATAATGTAAATGAAATGATCAGAAACCAGATAAATAGTAACAAGTCATCACTTCCTGTTCCTGTCATAATTTTGATGGGGTTCCCAGTAAAGTAAGCGGAGGAACCAGATTATCTGTACATGAGACCTCACTTCCGATTGCTGTCATAGTTTGATTGAACGCCCAGGTAAAGCGGGTCCGATTGATAAACTTGTTGTTTAAAATGATATATACCGAACACTTGAAACAAGACAACACAAATACGTCTTCATATCTTTACAAAATAGGGTCAAACTCAGATTTACAACAATCAGGTGTTTCTAATTTCTCTAGATAAATAGTTCTTCTACCTAGAAAACAGAGATTCTTTAATGAATTTATTGTTTCAAGTTTTAAATAGCTTGGATGTCAGACATAAGCGACTCTGAAAAGAAGAAAACTATCACTGACTGCCTAGATGTAAAGCTTTCGAATGAAAATGTCTACTTAAACACACCATATACCAGTAAATCGATTAGAAATGTCGAGTTCTATGTAGGACATATACATTTAAGTTCACTATGTTGTGTTACTTCCTTGTCCGTCTATTGTTATGGCAAAAGATGGCAAATTGAAAAAAAGACGAAAAGGCAAACAACGGTCCACAAAACAAAAGCTCGAGCAATACGAAGCTTATTTACATTCGGAAATGAATGCAAGTGGTCCAGAAGGGTTAAGGTTTTCTTCATTCTTGAATTGATCTCTGACTTCCGACATCTTATATTGTTCTCGTGGTTTTTACTGGAGTTTGATCTGTTCACTCCTTCTGTTATTTGTTGGGTAGTTATTTTATTGACGGTTATCCCATACTACTTGCTTTTATTCATATTATACATTTTAGGTTATCTTTTTAAAAGGGCATCCCAGATTTTAGTTCTAGTTCCTTGCGACATCGTTGCTTCGGATCCGCTCTCGATTTATCTTTGCGTTGTTTGAAGCGATAACATTGCCATGCTGCCTTGTCAAATCTCAGATGGTAAATTTGATTAAAATCGTTTTAGTGGGGTTTCAGTCTGTGTTAAGACTTATTAGTTTCTGCATAATTTATCACATTTAGATAAATGTTTTGAGTGACTTTACATTTCCGACATAACAAAGATGGCGATGTTAAGCTTCCTACGATTTAATCACTGACAACGAATTATCCGTATTTCCCGTCACGAACCCGAGAAAACTTCGTGTTTAGTCTAAAGCTATTTAATTATCGTTGAGTGTTATTGTGATTGTGCGATGATATTAGCTTGATTGAAGAACAGACTTTTAATGGTGTACCTCATTTGTAAACTTGGTAATTTCAACTTTATCACGAGGATTTTCCGGTATCTTTGTTAATCGATTATATTCTACAACATTTTTTATTTTTTTTTATCTTAAAATAGTTATATAGTATTGTTTTGCCCTCGTTAAAATCTGTTTTTCTGATTGTTTGACGAACTGACGATGATACATGCTTGGATCTAAACATGAATAGATACCGTAAGCTCGGTTTCTCATTTTGCTCACCGGATTGGTATCGACGACAACAACAAATTATAAACTGGTTTATAGTCAAACATATGTAAAAAGAAGAGGTCGGTCTCCCGGACATATATACACAGTTCGGATTCCCTGGACTGCCAATCAAAATCGAACAAAATCAGTTTCGTTTATTCATCCTGGCAATTAGAAACTTTTATTACAAGGCATTTGCCATGTGCATAAATTGAGCACATCGCCGTGATTTACTTTCTCATGATTTTTCCCCCATTGTTCTATTTTTTTCTTCCAATTGTCCACTTGAATCGTTTGAAAGTAATACAGTAATGAATAATTAATAAATATCAGAATTACTTTTTTATATTTAATGAATTTGAAACCTTAAAAATTGCGAATAAAGAAATTAATGAAAAAAAGTAATATTATGAATGATTAAAGATAGTCATATATTTGTTAGGATAAAAACTTGACGACCTTATACTTCATTTTTTTTTATTGAAAAACCATGTAATTGTAATACATGATGTAAAACTGTATAGTTTGATGTCTTGTTTCATTGTATGAAATTTGTGGCTTTTTTTTCATTAATAATACCCATTTATCAATGCATTGGTTTCTATTTTCAATACAATAAGCAGACTCCGCAAAACTAATCGACTATGCAGTATGAAGGGTTTGAAAGTTGGACATCATATCGAAAAAGCAGCAACTACAGCAAACTGAAAACACAAAGGATCGAGGCATATCGAAAAACACCTGTAACTGTTTCAGTTCGATACTCTCTGGATTACTGACAAACATACGATGACAATTTTGACTCGTTCTTAAATTTTTACAGTTTTGATCTAATATGTTTTAATACTAAAAATTACTCTCAAAATTGGAGTTTACAATCACATTTTTTGTTCGTTTCTATTTTAAACAATTTCAGAAAAAGCGTGCTTGTCAAATCGCAATGTCCGAGGACACTTGAACTTAAAGTGGAACAAAATGTCATGATTAAAATGCATCTGACAAGTTTTTATAGTTACCATGTAAACTGTTATTGTTAAAATGAAAACAAACTTATGGAGTCCAATCATCCTATCGTATAGATTCATCCGTTAATGGCAGTTAAGTGGAGTACTTGGGTTTGACAGATGAATATAGCGTAGGTTTCTCTCACCTGGCTAAAGGTCATTGCACCTTTTACTTTATTCGCCCGTCAGTTATTTTTTAATCATTATCACCTGGTTTTTTTTAGCGACAGAACAGGGGAGAAAGTTCTGTTACACAGACATTTGCAAGAGCAAAAGACCATCACGAATTCTTTGTAAAGACAATAGACCGTAACGCCATAATTAGAACATAATTATAAACTTTATATAAAAATATTTCCAAAGATGCCTTTTTTTAGGGGACGAGAGTTTACAAGGAAGCTTACTGCGGGGACTAAATTTGACATAATTGGTACATTCCTATACAAAAATAATGAAATATTGTAGGATTGCCAATAAGACAACTATCCACAAGAGACCAAAAGACGGGAATGTATATACGACTATATGTCATCGTGCTGCCTTCAACAAGCTAAACAATCACCGTGCAATAAACTATGAACAGTATGCGCATGACAAAAAACGAACGACAACGACAACCCCTGAATTACAGGCTCCTGACTTGGGACAGAAATATAAAAAGGATATGACGAGGTTAAACATGTTTGTCGGCGCTCAAACCTTTTCCTGACCTTGGACAGTGGTGTAACTATACAACTTAAGAAGAAACTTTCAAAATCAGTTTGAAAAAGCTTGACTTCAATCAATTTTTAAGAATTAAAAAGTATTGCATGGCGTTGCAGTAAAACAATTGGAGGAGTTTTGGCGTAAAAACAACAAAACACTAAATAGTTCTGAAAGTACACAAATCAAAACCACATAAATGAATGTACAAGTTCTGTGTTTGTACAAATTTGCATGATGTTTACAAACATCGGTATCTGGGAACAAATCGGAAATAATAAATCACATCTTGTTTAAAAATAAATTGTTTCATACAAAACACGGAAAGGAGCTAGACGAGTAACAACAGCGTCATACGTCTAAATAAAAGAAGGTTGGAATTTATTTATTATTGCTGTTTTCACTGTAATGAAGTTTACACCTAAATTGGTATCCTGATGAAACAGAATGACGCATGATTATACATTCCAGTATACATTAAAGGATAGTTCATTGTATAATTTTACTTGTACTTTTATGCATGTTAAAAGACGAGTAGCACATTGATATAACGGCAATTTTAAAGATGGGTGTTATCCTTGCATTCAGTTTTAAATACAATAAGAAGATGTGGTATGAGTGCCAATGAGACAACTATCTATCCAAGTCACAATGTGTAAAAACTAAGCAATTATAGGTCAAAGTACGGCCTTCAACACGGAGCTTTGGCTCACACCGAACAGCAAGCTATAAGGGCCCCAAAAGGACTAGTGTAAAACAATTCAAATAGGAAAACAAACGGTCTATACTTAATATATAAAACGAGAAACGAGAAACACTTATGAACTACACCAACAAACGACAACCACTGACCAACAGGCTCCTGACTTAGGACAGGTGCATTAAAATGCAGCGGGTTTAAACGTTTTATCAGGCGCCAACCTCCACCCTAACCTGAAACAGTGGTATAACATTACAACAATAAAATATCAATTAAAGTTTTGTTTAAAAAGTCACATGTTCTAAGTTTAACGGATAACGAACTTTTCTGTATAATTCGCCTTTATTTCCTGTTTATAACTGTTCTTTGTAAAATACACGACAGGGCTCCTTCACATTTACTCGGTCGGATTGTCACGAGACGAAGCCAGGACTAGAAGCCCCACTTAGTTGCACCTGGATTTTTAGTAATTTTAGATTTCGCTGTAAGTGAGATTTTCATGTTTGTCTTTATTTGGCCTTCTCTCACTTTTTGATATTAATGGAGCTCTCTGCATTGTCATAATCTAATCGTAGGACCAAGTGTTGAGCTTAAGATTGTTTTACTCCTTACTTTCTGTGATATCATCTTATTTACGTTTTACCCACAGATATCTATAGTTTTGTTCAAGAAAAATTGAAAAAATAGTATTTGAACTTGGATTTCTTCTAGATAATTTATCGACGTATTATTTCTTTATCCAACAGAAAAAAATGTCCCCAGTTTTACAGATGTAGTTTCAAGTTTGTTGCAGATATCCAAGACGAGCAATTTTGATTGGTTATTTAAAAAAACTTCCGCTTGTAATTTCCAGTGCAATTGTTTTTAGCAAACATCCCATTGGGCATTATTATCAAATTATTCCAGAGAAAACGCAATACACATAATATAATAAAAATAAAATGTCAAAATTTCTATAATCTGACTTAAGCCAATTTGTCACATGATAAACACGGAATTGTTTGTGGGCTATTTAATTAGAGCGACAGGAATATTATTGAGGATCGTGGTTCGTCTCACCAATTTAATAATCTGGTAAAAAATCGCATAAAAGGTCAAATGAATTCATTAATTTAAACAGCAATTTCCCCTCTTCTCAATCAATTTTGTTAGACTTCTAACCTTATTTATTCACTTTCAACTGTAAAAACTTTACATTCTTTTCCCGATTGGAGGTGTCACTAGGTATCGCTGCTTGGTCTGATTGCTGTTTGCTCTTCACATTGCACCCTTTTTAATGCCATATATATTGAAATATTCCTTCGAACATTGTAGCAAACGTTGCTGACTGTCAAATTTTCTAACGGACAGAGGCATAATATGCTATATATTCCCACAATTTAAAATCTAAAATCCAAGGAAACATTTTAAGAAATTGAAGAATAAAAGACAGATGTATAATTCCCCAAAAAGTCAAACTTAAACAACTGAATGAGTTAAACAGACTACATAAGGTTAGAATAGGAGAGGGGCGATAAAATTATATACAAAACAAACTAAGACAAAAATCACAGCCAGTCAAATGTACAGGTTTTATTTGTAAAACAATGTTTATATACACACAAAATATTGACTAACTATATTGATCTGACAATGAATTTATTATAGACGCACCTCGACAAAGATAGAGAAGTTAGAGAATGTGGTATGTTGAGTATAAAGATAACGACATAGTCCTATAACTAACCTTACTACCCCTTCACAAAGGATTACCCATGTCCGACCAACCCAGGGACACCGGATGGAGACTTAGATATGACCGATATAAAAATTCTAAATTACTCTGAAACCATGAGCTGCCTGCTTTTTATAAGTTTTTGAGATTTCCTGTCACGGATATAGAGCCCATATGTCATTTGACAAGTTATATATCCCTTCCAATAAAGGCAGTACTTGAGATCTTGTAAAACCCACCATAAAACCACGGTGTAAATATTGTCCGTTCTTGTTTATTGTTTGTTTATTGCCGTCTTTGGTTTACGACATCTTATCATCTGACGTTTAGGTAATAAATATTAGAAAATTAAAAAGACTTTAAAATCTTTGTTTCTTATTAGGAATTCGTGTTTTACAAGATTGTTTCATATAAGGAGGTCTTCAATCATTATTAAATGCGCGTCATTTTCAAAGTTTTTACGACAAATATCACAAAAAAAAGAAAAAATTGAAGTTTCGCATTTCTGTTATCAGATGGGTGTGGAAACCTCAACTCGTCAATCATGATATTGCAGAAAGACAGCTTTAACTTCGTTTGAATTCAGTCGTCTAAATTTCTTGGTTGTGCTTTCAAAAAGTTGATAATCCTTGGTAATTAATATATTTCTGATTGTCTATTTAAAATCTAGTAACTCTGTTATCATATAACCAAGACGTGAACTTTGTATAAAGGTGCAGATTAGAAACTTGCCAAATAGATATGGCATATCAACTCTGTTCTCAATGCATTTTATATACCCTTAGATAGCGTGGTTTTTGTGAACGGAAATTAAGTCTAAGTAGATATAGTTTATAACAGCCATATTGTAATAATATCACTGACACGTTGCTTGGCAGTATAAAACACGTAGTTATGATCGCGCGGGTAATATAAGTCAAGGGTATACCGATGAATTTATTACCCAGGGAAGGGCCAGTATAACGTTCAAACGGATTTAAATGGAGAAAATTGGGACAAAATCTAAACAGCGGTATTATAGGAGGAAGACATTATCAGTAAAGATTTATCACGAGAGCAAAGTTTTACTGCTATCTTAACGTAGAACGAGATTACAGAGCCACCCGGCTGAAGTCCATGTTGTAAATTATTTAATACCCCGTCTAAAGTACACAGATATCGACGGGTTCAAACTTCACAAATACTGAAAATTTGAAATTTTCTCAGGCTTTGTCTATAACGTGATTTTTATCCTTTTCCTGTGATTAAAGAATCCTTCCCAAATGAATCATGCATCATGCACAATAGTCATAAATGAAAACAACATGGTAAAATACATTTCAAGGAACATAACGGAAAAACACTCAAAAAGGTTTTACGGCTATTATTTTCGTTCTATCCGCCGCAGATTTATTGTGTAAAAATAGAATAGTTTCATCCGATTATAAAATGATTCCAATATCATGCACAATGTTAGCGTAAAACGGAACTCGTGCCATCGTCGTTCCTGAAACGTTTTGTCTATTCAATATGACGTTGTTAGAGCCACTCTGCTAACCTTAAAATATTAATTGATGAAGTTCGAGATTACAAGATTGACACAAGCGTACTTCTAGTAATGTGCTTCTCTGATTGTTTGTCTATTGTAAATACTGAAAATCTTCACGTTGTTATGTACATAGGGTTTCAAGGGCTGTTTGCACCAAGCTGTTTCATCATATCGCAAATTATTAATTTGTCTATTTTTTATCGAAACAACAAATTTATTTAAGATTGCTTCAATATGACCTTTGACGGCTATTCTGTTGTAAAATGTTTGCTCCTATTCCCTAAATCCACAGAATTATCGCCGTTTTTGTGTATTCTAGTTAACAAATACTCGTCACGCGAAAATATTGACTTTTTGCTATTAATCCAAGTTAAATTATACATATAAACAGTGAGATGTGTGTTCTGAACAGATAAGATAGAATAAATACAAAAACAGTTTGTGCAAAGTTTTCACATTTGATTTACAATGTTTAGCTGTCTTAAACAGGTGAAAATCAAAACGTCAACAGAATAGATATTTTAAACTAAATACAAATACAACCCTATCTTGTTCACACAATCATATTAAACATGCAAACACAAATTATATATACACAGATCATTCTAATGTATACATAAATGTTTGAATATTATATGGAATGCTTCCGTGTAAAAAATTATATTTACACAATGAAAACTAAGTTTAACTGCACAGTCTAAACACCCAGATCTTTGCCATACCATGCTTTACAAACTATACTTCCAAACGACAGTCTTAGCTAGATCCGGGTTAGTGCTGATGATATGCAATGGTTTAAGTAACATAGAATCAATAGAACAAATTTGGGAAATCCTGTAACTCTTGGCCGGAAGTGTGAAATGAGGACGTCCCTTTCTTTTGACGATTCCGGTCTTTTTTTCTTCTAGTCATAGTGTTGCCCGTCTTTGTTTAACCATGCATGGAAGTAAAATATAATACTTCCATGGTTTAACTTATTGTTCTGATTGTCCCATTGGTGTCATCTTTCTCTTTAAATGACATTGTTGTTATGTTCAAACTTATTTTGACAAATTGGGTTTGTTGATATCAACAAATCTAGTTTATCAAACATATACAAGAAAAATTAACAAAAAAAAAAACCAAAAAGCTTCTTCAAAATGATCATCCTAACCTCATCTATATGTAGTAAAACACGGTAGAATGATATCATTATTAAAACTTTAGAAAAAACCTGACTCGAAACTTGGGATCTCAAGATAGGCTATACAAGAACATGGTAAATAAACAAAACAAACAGCTGTGAAAGAAAAACACATATCCCAACGGAAGTGATGTCAACTCTATCGACAGCACGTGAAGGTCAAAATAATGTTTTTCAAAAAAGTAGGTTACTTCTTTGGAATAGAAGCTGGGAGATTTTGCACTTTTTATGTATTTCCTTTAATGAATGTTACAAATTGTAGATGTATGGCTTTTTATATAGGTGTGTGTTTTTATGTAGTTGTTTGAATTTCCTTTTTTCATCGATCTATGTCCGTCTTTTCTTTATGTGCATATTGCAATGGAACCATGTTAGAGTTGCACCAGGTTTTTTTCCGGACTGGTCTTGTCGTGGCATATACATGTTTTGTGTGTCATTTCCTCTCGGACACAATAACACATCCAAAAAGAATAAAAAGTAGTTTGTTGGTAAATATTTTGGAAAACATGTCAGTCAATTTGGTGTTTTATATACTTCTTTAATATACTCTGTTAGTATGTCTGATACAACAAATGTAAGATATATAATCGAGAACACATTTTCATTTTTTTATAAATAACTTAAGTCCTTTCAGTTTTTCCATTTTTCAAGTATTACACACCTTTTTATATTAATCATTTGGAAGATGTTCCCACGCAGTGTAAAATATGGGACAAACACGTAATCAATCATGCAGTTTAAAAAAAGGGATAAATCGTCCAAAATACCAACACCCAAATTGTGTCTTTTACTTTTCGGATCTAAAATCCTTTTAGAATTTTTAACTTCAAAGTTTGTGAATGAAATTTGTATTCTTCTCTAAAATGTCTGTATTGATGAATGTTCTATACTTGGAATAAAACCTGTTCAGAAACACGTCCATTGATTTTTAATGTAATGTTCTAGATTTTGAACCATTTAGAAATTAAAAGTAATAAATGCGACAGTATTTGATATGAATTTCACAATCAGGTAGTGTGATAATGAGTAACGAAAAATTCAGTATGAAAATATAAATACAGGAAAAGTAAGAATGACCTTTGTCCCTTTTGTATCTTCCCCCCTTTAAACTTCTAATAGCGAATGCCTGACCAGAATTTCAACAACAAAAAAACGACACTGATGCAACCAAACTGCATTTTTGGTCATAAAAATACCGGTAAATGTAGAGGAGAAATGGACGGCCGGAAGTTTTGATAGTTGATACCGATGACTTTTTAGAATTGTGTAGACATTTTACAAATTACATTGATAAGTACAATTTACCAAACTCAAACTTTTTTGTGCTCCGTAAGTTATATTCACACGGATTAAATGCATTTTGTTTCATGTTTCTCTTTATATAGCCTTACATTTTTATCATATAATCAGAGTGCAAGTGCAATTGATTCCATTTGAAACTTGTATTTGATAATAATGAAACAGTTTGGAACTTGAAACTTGCAAACTTCGGCATCAATAAGTAAGAACAATAATTTTGTTTCAGAATATTTTGTTTATGTATGACATTTTTATTTCTATTTTTAGAGAGCATTATTTGTCCTTTTTGGTCGTTGTCATGAAGTGGACCCCGTGAGATTATCTTGCAATATTTATCAGATACAATGACCATTAGTTGTAAAATGTCAATAAATTTTACGTTATCTTATTAGTGACGGTCGCAACTATAAATATCAGAAATAGTGGTAATCTGTGTAAGGGATCGGGACCAAATTTGTCCTTATTTAAACATGTAGGAGACCAGAATGGTCCTTGTAAACATGCTGTATCTACATAAGCGACGATAACATAGACACGATGAAAATTAAACCAAAAAAAGAATTGATGTGAGGTATACGGCAATGAGTCAGCAACCCTACGACAAAAATAAACACAACACACATCAAAAAGTCTTGTATTAGACATTGTTCTTCCATCTTTTTATAGACTCGGTCTTGCTAAATGTTCATTTTATCACATGTCATTTTCTTTAGGAAGTAAGTGCATAATATTTGATGTGTATTCTTATGTCTTCGACTTATTTTTGTTGTTGATTATATATGCAATAATTGTATGTAGTTTATTAGTTCATTTTCTTTGTTGTACATGCGCATCTTTTTTTTTATTTGTGTTGTTTTTTCAATATTGTTCATGACGTGCAGAATTTCACCTGTACGATATCAAGAAAAAAAAACAGTTCAGACAAATTTTAAACCACTTGCAATAAATACTGCAGAACAGAGCACGACTTCTTTTTTGTTACATTGAACTCTAAGAAGTAATGGAATGCACTCAAACTTCAGACATATAAAACCGGAAATAGTTATAACTACATATAAGAGCGCATCGGGTATGGGTTTTGCTTATTGTTGAAGACCATACAATGACCTATAGTTGATTACTTTTACGTCACTTAGTTTCCGTTGTCTCATTGGCAATCATGTTCTTATTTTATATATGACTTAACTTCAACTTATAGACTCATATTAACGGAATCTTAAAATCGTAAACAACAAGAAGAAACTGAACTCAAAGGTTGCGTGTTTACCCTAAGCCCATATATAAGTATACGACAAATATGGGATCGAACACAGTCGGAATAGCAATAAATCCCTCTAGTAAAAGAATTCTACCTAAAGCGGATATAAGGATCGTCCTGAACTTGTAGTGAGTTTTTGGTTTTTGTTCTGTACGGATGGCCTTACTTTGAGATGGAGACCAGCAATAAAAGCGATGTTCCTTTGCTTTGGGTTATGTGTGTTGGGTTATTTTGTCATGAATTAACACACCTGTCCCCTTCTTTCTCTTTTAAGTGAAACCGGTCTTATAAGAGGTTATATAATAATGAAATTGCGTTGAGAAGGTTAAAATCTGCTACTACGCAGGCAACACCAAGTTATTAGCAGGTAAAATTGCCGTGGTCATGAACAAGGCAGATTTGGTAAAAATGTCAGCTGATGTCAGAAATGCGTCTAGACCAGGGTATGTATATTAAAAGGGATGCAGACCCTAAATCCATCTTTTGTTTCACCAATGATTCTCCTTGAATCATGAAAATGATACTCATGGTACAATTGGTTAAACAAGAGAACCATTGTCACATCATTGGGCACATTTCATAAGATGGAGAACAGCTATAAAACTCTTTTCTTTAAGAGTGGTTATTTTCAAGGTTTTCTTTGATATGTGTTTTTTTATGTGTGAATATTAATGATATTGTTGATAATACGTGAATAAATAGCCAAAACAAAAAACAAAAACCCAACAACCGATAGAGCTAACAGAGCCAAAAGAAATACATATTGCAAATCTATACCGAATACACATATAGAACTATTATAAAAAGAAAACCAAATAACAAAACAGAAAACAGTCTAGAAGCTAGTCCCACGAAATCGTATTACTTTTCTTGTTGAAGACCGTATGTTGACATCTAGATTTCTTAGTTTATTTGTGTGTCGTTTTGTTGCTGCGTCATTGTCGTATACCCAACTTATCTTTTGATCAGATTGAAGACTTTTTTATAATTGTATACTGTTACATGCATTTCCATTATGTATTGCATACAAGGAGTGAAATATCAATGCCAACCTATTGAATTGCTTTTGAGTATATTTGGACAATTTTAATAAACGTTTTACATGATGGTAAAATAATCGTTACAAAATGGGTATTTTAAAATACAAAACTGTTGTGAATTAGGCTTTATAAATCCATATTTTAGAATGTGAGAGGACAATTTTCTGTTTTAACAATATCTTATTTTTTTTTAAAGTGAAAGAAAACTGAAATTTTATTTATTTTTGTAACTGCTTAGAGATTTTTCAGAACTGGAAATTTTTATAGATATTTTCTGTTGAAAAAGTAGTATTAATTAAATTTCATTTTCTTGCTGATAAACCTAGTTTAAATTTAAATTGTTATATAAAATAAAATATGAATTAGTATATGGAATATTCAGTAACAATTAAAAATATTTGAATATCTGCAACATTTAGTTATTACAAATTGTATTTTATACGAGTTCATAATTGAATGAGTAATTGCACTTCTAAATAAAAGAAATTAAACGTATATACAAAGAATTTTGTTTTTATGAAAATAAAACGTTCCTTTTCACTAAAGCAGGATAGGATCTAAAATTTCCTGTAACATTATATCAAAATAAAACATGTTTAGATTTTAATAAATATTTCTTTAAGAAATTTTATGTCACAGACAAAATCGGTTTCTCATCGTGGTTAAAGTTTAATTTTTAATATAAACATCGTGAAATTAGAGAATTATTTTATTGTCAAATAAATGATTAAATTTCCAATGTCATTTAAAAGAAGAATGATAGTTTTGACAACATTGAAGTATAACACATTCAGAAACTTTCACCTAATCACACCTAATTTTATACTTTTAACACCTGTAAAATCTAACTAAAGACCAAAAATCCGCCCATAGTGCCCTGAAGTTAGTTTTTTCTATGTATATCCTTACAGTTTGACCAGGTGTATGGCAACTTAAGTAATTTTAAAGTAAACAGTACATTAAAACAGCTTAAAACTAATGGTAAAGGCCCAAATGTTCCGATGCAGATGTGAGAAAATATTTATCTAATTGGAAAGAAATTTCTTGTATTGTCGAAAATTCAAAACATATCAAATACCTTTTTCCGAATGGAAATAGAAGTATGACAAAGTTTGCTTTCTGTTAAGTGGAAGATGTTGAATAAGATGAAAATATTTTCCCGTTTTTTAACAACAAAATGATTAAATTTAAAACAAGTGGCAGGTACGTGAATTAATGACAAAACTCCTATCTCCTTCTAACGGAGATAAAATATCAAACGTCTTAGTGTGCGTAGCAACGATATCCCGCTAGTCGCCAGTAACTGATATTACGGACGGGTACATGACAAATCGTAGCGTGGATAGATAGGCCTTGGACATAGCTTGGATTCACACAAAGTGGCGCCATTCTGTGAAAGTTTTCCGTTGGAAAGAAATTGAAATATTTCTAAAAAATTTTAAAATTTGAAATAAGTTGTAAACAGGAAGTTAACATATACAAAAACCCAATGATAATATCCTTTCAAATGTTTTATAAATTAACTACGAAATATAATTTCAAATTGAATAGTTATTTATTTTTCATATCTACCAGTTGAAATTTTTCATATGTATTCTTTAAGAAATATTTCCATATCTTCCCAACTTGTTATATTTATATGTGTGCTTCAAATAAATAAATAGTAATCAAGTTTCAATAATATATTTCAACATCTACATGAAAATATCTTTTTCTACATTTAATAATTTTACAAAATAACTTACGAAACGATATTCTGTGTCAATGTTCAATAAATAATATCATTTTCTACATTAATAAAAATATCACTTTTCCATGAAATAGTAATTTATAGTTAAGAGAAAAAAGCACTCTATCTCTTTCTTCTTTGAATAGTTCCTCTACTTCTTAAAGGACAAAAAGCAAAAATATACAAACTTTTGTTCACCGGCGGCTCGCTATGTTCAAGAAAAAACACGAAGCACACATCGCTAACGCAGAACACAAATTGTTGATAAATCTTTGGTTTACAGCTATAAAAATGAATGTAATTCTCTATAAACTACCCACACTGTGAGGTGCGTATGTCTTGTAATAGCCATTATTGTCCGGTCCTGGCATATGTGATAAGTCTTTAGACATTGGCGGTAGCGCCATATGAGGATTATAACCTCCGTATCCCTGCATTTCATACATTTTCATGTCCATTTTGGCACTGTCTGTGATTAAACTATTTATAGAGAACGGATGGTTAAATGAGTGAGGATGATTTAAGTGTCCGGCGGGATTGTACCCCTGCGAAACTATATCATGCTGCATATGTCGAATGTTCGGCGTCATATCATGGCGTTCATGTTGCTGGACGGGTGTTGGCGCACTGTGTTCATTACTCATTGGTTCCGGTTTTGTTTCCGGAATCTCATGTCCTGACGGCACATGATTTTGTGGTGGTGGTGGTGGCGGCGATGGGGAACATCCATCTCTACTGTCGGGCGACTTACAACTATCATCGTCGTCTCCTGAACATGACTGCCTCATCATTTCTTTCTTTACACATTTAAAGCGTTTCTGGCGTCGAAGGTAACATCCATTTTCGAACATATTACCTGAATCGGGATGAAGAGCCCAATAGCTGCCTTTTCCAGGACGGTCTGGTGTTCTCGGAACTTTGACAAAACAGTCATTAAAAGATAAACTATGTCTTATAGAATTTTGCCATCTTTGTTGGTTCTGGCGATAGAACGGAAATAAGTCCATGATAAACTGGTATATTTCACTAAGCGTGCACATTTTGTTCGGTGACTGTTGAATAGCCATAGTGATAAGTGATATGTAAGAATATGGCGGCTTTGCATGTGTATAACTTCTACGATACGTTTTGTCTCGTGCCCTGTTTATAGCCTGGGCCCTGTTAAACGATTCCATCCTCATAGGGCTCGACATGCCGTTCATTGGTGGTAGACTTCCCATTCCATTCACTGAAGCTATTGAATTCATAGAATTCATACCCGGTGGCATGGATGCTGCGTGCATACCCATGCCCATACTGGACATTGCTTGTGGTGGCATACCTCCCATGTTCGGAGGAGAATAGTTCATATTGCTCATAGCCATAGATCCCATAGACATAGTCCCATAACTGTTCATATTCGGCATTGATGTCATAGTGTATCCGCTACTGCAGCTGGGATCGTACGGAGACTTAGTTGACAACATTGTCAAATAGTCTCCCGACTGCGGGCAATCCAAACTTTGTTTCTCGTACATAATTACCAACAAATAGTTGTAAAACACTCTTGGTTATATCTGTAAACTGAATTGACCCTGGGTAAATATACCTGGTTCTAGTCAAACTTCCACAACGCCCACTTATGCAAATTAGTTGATAAGTGTCAACTGTTATAGAGGAACGTTATAAGCCCCTCCCACTTATTGAACTCAATATCGGTTCTTATCACTCGAAAATGTCCATCATTTATTTTAGTGGAAAAATATTAACAATGTCTCGCGACCAATCTTTGTTCAGGTAAAGTATTTTTTTGTTTAACCAATGCAAAAAAATGTTTTCTCAAAAAGTACTAAAACGCTTCAAATTCTTTGAATTGTATATTTTCTGTGGACAAAAAATTCTAATTAAATATTTGGTTTGAGTAAGGTGAATTTACTTATTCTTTAATGAATTATTTTTCATAAGTAGAATTATAGATTTTAATTGTTACAAAGTTTATTTTAATTGTTGTAAATAGCTTTTTTCTTAATATCTTGTTAATCTACCAGTTTACTCATCGCTTATCAATAAATTGAATGTGATAGTTAAACATTTCAAGTGTCGCACCTGGTTTATGCAGAATTTACCTTTTATGGTTCGGACACAAGGGTTTTACAACTTTAACACCTCGATAAAATATTGTATTCATCACTAAAATTCAAATTTGAACAACAGTATATAATAAAACGATAAGAATATTATAAAAAGTGAAATTTCACGGAATTCTTCATTAAAACAATGATTATAATAATAAAACGATAGGTATTTTTAAACAATTTACGGAAAATTATTAGATTCCGAGCGGGAGCAAGTTAACGATTTTAATCATTTAATTACTGGATTAACATGTTAAATTTCTTCTCGTGGATTTTAATACATTGTAAAAAAGTAATTCAATACAGTTTTTAGTCACTGCAAACGATTTCCGATTAAAACTACAAATGAAGGCCGAGAGCATTATGGTACGGAAACGGTTTTTATTCTAATCTGATCATTTATGAAATATTGTAATCAATTAGAACTTGATGAAACGGTTTCTAGGTAGCCTTGTAGATTGTCCAGGTGCTACGCTCTTATCTTGTCAGTTAAATTCATTAACATTCCAAATAAAGCAAAAATTATAGGTCTTCCATCATTTTCAATTGTCATAGTTTTCCCAGAAATATTGGTAAATTGTCCTGGAACTATACTGATTTTGTTTCAGAGGATTTTATTGTTGAGATTTTCAGAACGAATAGATATGTAAATTGCCAACGAGTGAAATTAAAAAAAAGAAAAAATACAAACTGATATTTTTTTAAACAAACGAGCAAAAGATAAATAAATCAGCATCTCTTATATTCATATTCCAATCTTTAAAACTGTTCCGACAATATGAATTTAGAAAGAATTAAATTCTCTTATATGTTTGAAAATTTCTCTATTCTATTTTTATTCATATAATTTTGTTTCTTGGATATTTTTTTCATAGCAGAAATACTATTGCTACTGGTATATTTGACCATGGAACTACCATATACAATATAATACTACTTCAATGGTTTGACCAAAATACTTGAAGTCACCAAGACATCTCTGGACACAGTAATACTTGATATTACAATCTCAAGTTTCTTTGAATTTAGTTTCTATAGTTTTTCCATGTATAAGAATTGCATGCCTTTATAGAAATTCTTTAACTTTAAACACACAACAAATAAGATTTTGATTTATTGAGAAAGTTCCCATAACCAGTAAAGGTGCCAAATATCAACACACACCTGTGTTACATGTATACACATACCAGCTCTACTTAACTACAGAGTGTTAATTAGTCGGCAACTATAAACTAGTCAATTTCTTTATTAAGGGTTGTTATAAACCCCCTTCTTTTATCTTTATTAATCACCACTTATGTGGTAAATTTTCTTTATTTTACAGCAGAAATTAACACACAATGCACTGCTCTAAACGATGTCCAAACACCGTAAAAATAAATAAAAGCAGACAGCATTTGGGCAATTAGTGCAAAGAAGTATTTATTTATCCTGATAAAATAACGTGCTTTTTTAACAATTATTATGCATTATTGCTTTTGCATCACTTTTATTATAACTTTTAATCAACAAAAGTACGATCTGATGATTGTGACAAATGCAATTAAGAACATCAAAGAGAGATGCCGAAATAGGAGGAATATAGACAGGTAGATTATTGCAACTGCTTCTCGGTACCTCTCTAGAGAGTTTTAATAAATGAAATTTACTTAATATAAAATTGTCATGAAGGATATTTCTACAAGTGCCGATAAACCCATGGGATGGAACAAATGAAACGTATGCCATCGTTCAGGCGATAATGAAAAATCACGCCGTTTACCTGCGGTCCCTAACGTACAGGTAATCTGATTGTAGAATGATGTGATTTTTACACGTCAATGAAGATTCACTGAAATGAATAAATTTGGGAATATGAATTCTTAATATCTGTTTTTTATTGGTCCCAATCATTATTTTAGTTTAAAAAGGTTTCGTAGGCAAACAAATAAAAATCAACTTCTCTTGAAAAATCCACGTATGGAACATCTATGAGAGACAGAAGAGAGAGAAAGAAAGAGAGAGAGAGAGAGAGAGTTGTTAACACCACTATAATGATAGTCAAACAGTAAGGTAAACAGTAATTCAAACTTGGTAAACATACAGAAAAACTGTTTTCTGAGGCGATCTTGTTTGTTCACTTAATATTCGGAACCTTGAGTAAACAAAGCGTAAAAAATAGATTTCTTGACTGTTTGTTTGTGTTGTATCACTGGTAGAAATTTAGGGGTGGGGTTAGTTCCCAGCATACATATTAGCAAACATATTTTTCTGTTTCCATTTTGAAGCAGATTCAGCTATAGACTGAAAGTCATATGATAAAGAATTTCATGAACCCCAAAGTCTTCATTTTCAAAACTTTCAACTTTGGTAGACATAAATCTCTTTAGCTGAAAAAGAATACAAAATATATACAAGCTAACAGAGGGATATCATATTTTCATATATATACAAAGCAACTAATCCACCCGTCTGGCATATGCTGGCACGCATATACAATGGTTTCCAAAGCCCAATCCAAAGCTCTCCAGTAAAGTGCTTTTCAAGTTTTCATTCCACGTGCCATAACTAACATAAAAAGAAACAAATGAGTCCCATATTCATTATTTATAAATAAAATTGTTAATTTGAACCTCAACCACAAGTCCGATGTCATCAACTGTTTACATAGTTTTATATCATTCTTCTGTCCCGGTGTCAGACACTAGGCCCCTATCCCCAGACACTTAGTTCTGAAATAGGAAATCTAATTTACTGTTTACCCAAGACTTATGAAGACAGAAAAGTATTTTTGTTCGAATTTTTTTACATTCAAATTGCTAATGGGATTCTTGTCAATCTCGTTAACATTAGAAAAAAGTCTCAGATACATATGTTTGTTGGTGGAGTATGAATGACACTTTACATCACGTCATGTGATTATGGCATACAAATTGATGTGTCCAAATACCACCCAGATATAACAATAGCAAAGCACACCTGGCCAAGGACTTTTAACAATGCCCAAAACTTTCAGGTATTCCCTCGTTTCTACAATTCTTGTTATTTTCCATTCCTCTTTAAAATTAAGACGTATCCTTAGCAACAAATTTAGGTGAAATTACAAAATACAAGCACCTGGGATTGAGCAATAGAATGTCTAAGGATAGGTTATGAAGGACATGCTTTTCATTTTGTGTCAAAATACTATTGTCATTGTCAAGCGACTTGGATTGCCTAACATGGATTGAAATTTATTGCATGCATTTACTTTTTGAGAATTCTGTTAGAACATTATAGATAGGAAACCGTTATGAAGCTTTGGGCTTGATTTAACACCAAGGACAAAGTGTCAACACTTCAAGCAACTTGTGAAACTGTTACATTTTTCTGTTAAAACGGAAGAAAGCAACAATAACGGCTAAGTGTTTTACAATCTTGTAACACGATTTGTATTGACATATGCAACTGAAATAAACAAAAATATATGACAAAAGAAAAAGTAAATAGAAATATAACATACAAAACGAGTTTCAGTCTAATTTTTTTAAGGTTAATTTGCTCATTTCAAAGAAAGAGAATGAAAGCGACGAAAATAGAAAGGAAAATTCATATGGCAACTCAGAGGATTTTTGTTATCTTCCTACTATGAAAAAGTTCCCAAACTTGGTGGCTTGTAATTTTTATTAATTGCTCTTTTTTTCTGTTAGCGAGGCGGGCGACAAAATGCTCATGGATAAACAAAGAGTCTTTAGCAGTCCAAAATACCCAAATATGAGATATGTTATAAAAAACACAATCTTATATTCTTTCCGTATTTTCCCCATATGATCGAAACATTAAATTACCCCCCAGAATTATTCAATATTCTTATATTTATGACCAATTCAAGAGTATAAAATTCTGTCAATATCACCATAGATATTGACCAGTGGATTTCAACATGATAAAATTTAATAAAAATCTCAGTATGTGTTATAAAATGATAAACAATAATTAAAAGATAAAAACCTTCTTAAAAGATTAGAGCGAGATAGGACATCTGTTACTTAGAATTTAATGGTTGTTAAGTTTTAATTTTAGTAATTCATAAACATTCACTCAACATATTGCAATGGATTATGCTGTTCTCAAATCACATTTCGACAGTTATTGAGTATATGATTTGATTAAGCAAACAATGTCGTGGAAAATAAAATAGTATGCTAACTTTGAACGAATGGGGAAAAAAAATTATATCTGATTTCAAATAATTAAATAAATAAATAAATAAATAAATAAATAAATAAATAAATAAATAAATAAATAAATAAATAAATAAATAAATAAATAAATAAATAAATAAATAAATAAATAAAAAATCACTAGTTTCTGCATGCTCCAATTATTAATCAAAATTAATGATAATAATAATAATAATTTGTTAAGCTAAAATAGTGAAACTGTGGGGAGTAAAAACAGAAATGAAGAATTTATATTTGTTATCAAGT